AGTTTTCCGCCAAAATCAAACGCGCCAAAATTTTCTCTTGTTAATCACTTTTTCCGGATTTTTAGCCCACTATTTTAGTTGCTTTGGGTAAGTTTTTTGTTGCTGCCATATTTTATTTGGAAACATAGTTGTTTTAAAATATAATAAATTAGCAATAATTTATATTTGGTAGAACCCTTAATTGTCTCAACAAGTTCTGTTCACGCCTTAATTTTCTCAACAGGTTTGGTTAGTGGCCTAAGATTTAGCTTAGTATTTTTCAACTTTCCGCCCAAAGAAAAGCAGCAAACTAGTTTCTTCCTTTTAATTATCTTTTCCTTAATCCTTAGCCTATTTCAGTTACCATTCTAGCAAGGTTTTCTCCTTTATTATTATACAGCTCTGAGCAATTGGTTCTGGTCTATTCTTTGCTTCATTATTTCTCGTCTACAAAGTCTGGTGAGTCTTGCTGATTACTATTTATCTATAGTGTGTTCCTTCGCTTGTATCACTATTCGTTCAATTTATATGCTGTTATTTTTACTGTATTTTAGTATAGAATCTTTCTCTGACCTTTTCCTTATTTATTTTTTTGCTAAATTGACAACAAAAAATTGAGGGACAGTTAATATTTTATATTTTGTAGGTTATTATATGATGGATAAAAGTTGGATACTTCTTAGGAATAGGGCATTACCAGAATACTTGAATGGCGTGGAACAATTTTTAAACTTTGCATTTTCAAATCCTAATGTTGGTTTAAGAATTCAATGTCCGTGCACTAACTGTAACCATGTGCGTAGGAAAATACGAGAAGAAGTGAAAATAGATTTACTTAGGTGGGGTATAGATCCAACATATAATAGGTGGATTCATCATGGTGAGTCAGATTCATCTTCAGATGATGAAATAAATTCTAGTGCAAATTCAGATTTAGGAAATGATGATGATGCCACTTTCGAGATGTTGCATGACATGTATCACGGTGTTCCTATAGATAATATAACTCATTATCCGTCTGATGAGTCGGCTGAGTCTAGATATGAAGAACCTAATGCAGAAGCTAAGAGTTTTTATCGGTTGTTAAAGGATGCAGAGCAGAAGTTATATCCAGATTGTGAAAAGTTCTCGAAGCTCTCTTTTGTAATGCGTCTTTTTCAAATGAAGTGCTTGCATGGTTGGAGTAATACTTCATTAGACTCTTTGTTAAAACTATTAAGTGATGCTTTTCCCAAAGGACATGTGCTCCCTAATTCTATTTATGAAGTTCAAAAGATTATTAAAGATTTGGGTCTAGATTATATGAAAACAGATGCTTGTGTTGATAATTGCATCTTGTATAGAAAGGAATATGAGGATCTGAAGCAATGCCCTGAATGTGGTGAGAAAAGATGGATAGTACGAAAAGGAGAAGATGACACTGAAGTTGCTTCAAGTAATTTGAATAAGAGAAAGAAAGGAATTCCTAGAAAAATTCTTAGATACTTTCCTTTGATACCAAGATTACAACGGTTGTTTATGACTAAACAAACCGCAGAAGATATGAGGTGGCATAAAAATAAACGAGTTGATGATGGAGTACTAAGGCATCCAGCTGACTCACTGACATGGAAAACTTTTGATGAGAAACATTTGGATTTTGCATCAGATCCACGTAATGTAAGACTTGGACTTGCTTCAGATGGTTTTAATCCTTTTGGTTCCATGAGTAATGCCTACAGTATGTGGCCAGTATTCTTGATTCCGTATAATCTACCCCCGTGGCTATGCATGAAACAATCTAATATTTTGTTATCCTTGCTTATTCCTGGCCCTAAAAGCCCTGGTATGAATATAGATGTGTATCTCCAACCTTTGGTTGATGATTTGAAAAAATTATGGGAGGATGGAATTGAGACTTATGATGCTTTTAAGCAACAAAATTTTCAATTGCGTGCTTCTTTATTGTGGACAATTAATGACTTTCCTGCATATGGCATTTTGTCCAGTTGGAGCACAAAAGGTAAATTCGCTTGTCTTGTTGTGACGACCCGGTCTGTCGTCACGTGAGTTACCGCCCCGTTTCCCCCATATTATGTCCCTCCATGATTTAATATCAGTATTTGAGTTGATCGGGTAGAATGGATTGGTTCTAGTTGGAAATATGGCACTTAGCCTTTTTGAAGGAAGCTTGCGTTGGAAAAAGTCAACCGGAAGTTGACTATGTAGTTAGAGGGCTCGGATGTGAGTTCCGGTGGTTCGGGTAGCTTGGGGGAATGATTTGTGACTTAGGAGTGAAGTCGGAATTCAATTTGGAGGTCAGGTGTAGAATTAGGCTTGAATTGGCTAAGGTTGGATTTTGGCGAATTCCGGATGGTAGGTGAGATTTTGGTCCGAGGGTCGGAATGGAATTCCGAGAGTTGCAGTAGCTCCGTTAGGTGATTTTGGATATGCGTGCAAAGTTTCAGATCATTCGGAGGTGTTTAGGTCGGGTTTTTGATCGAATGCGTAATTCGGAAGTTTTTAAGAAACTTAGGCTTGAATTCGATGTGATTTGATGGTTTTAGCATTGTTTGATATGTTTTGAGGATGAGAACAATTTGAATGAGGTGTTAGGATGTACGGGTGTTTTTGGTTGAGGTCCCGGGGGCCTCAGGGTGAATTCGGGTGGTTAAACGAGAGTTTTGAGGGGTATTGCGGGTCAGATTTTGCTGTCATCTGGTGTTTCCGCTTCTGCGGAAATGGACCGCAGAAGCGGTACCGCAGAAGCGGGTACGTGGTCGCAGAAGCGGTCGTTGGCCAGCTAGGGAAATTCCGCAGAAGCGGAAGGTGGCTCGCACCAGCGGGTCCGCATAAGCGGACACCGTACGCAGGAGCGGTTTTGAGGGAACCGCAGAAGCGGACTTCGCGTCGCATAAGCGAAGTTCGGGTTTTCTAAGTGAAGATCGCAAAAGCGGAAATGTGGCCACAGAAGCGGTCCCGCATAAGCGAAAGCGGGACCGCAGAAGCAAAAACTGGACTGGGCGACAGAAGGGTTTTAAAATAATATTTCATCCGCGACCCTTTCATATTTTTCCTCCATTGTTGACGTTCTTAAGAGCTTTGAACAAGGAAATTCGAGGATTTTGACTGAGAATCACTTGGAGGTAAGTTCCTTGGCCTAAATATTCGAATTTATGGTAGAAATTACATGTAAATTGTAGAAAATTCATCAAAAACGGGTCAAGCTAGGGCTTGGAAAGCTGTGATGTAAAAATGGAATTTGGAGGGTCAAACGAGCTCCGATTTTGGTAAACTTTATATGCACGGACTCGTGGCGAGACGAGGAATCCGTTGGTGTGATTTTCGGGTATTTTTGATTGGGTTATGTTTCTTTAACCCATATTTATGTATTCCTTGTGGTTTTGACTAGATTCGACGTGCGAGGAGGTCGATACGAAAGGAAAAGGCATTGCGGACCATTCTACGGCCGGATAGAGGTGAGTAGTTGGTGTATATGATGGCCTGAGGGTTTGAAACCCCGGCTTATCACACTGTGACGCTATTGTAGGGCGTGACTCGCACCCCATGGCAGGTGCGGGATTGGTTATGACTGGGAATTGAGACTTAGTCCATCCCGGACAAGAATGTTTCTATATTGGTGACTGATACACACCCTGTATTGAATATATCTGGGCTTATTGTCGTGTTTGGGGCCTTGTGCCGATCTGTAGCATCCTTAGAGGATGAATGTCATTGTGATAGCATGCTTTGTATAATCATTGATCTCAGTCCTGTGTTTAATCACTGTTATGAAATGCTAAGTCACTTTTCCTGAAGTTAAATATCTAAAGTATATTCTTCTTAATAAATTGGAAATTGAGAAATTAATTGAATCTGTTACGTGACTCATATGCATGTTGTGGACTGAGTATGGATCGGGCTGCACGCCGCAGCGAATGGTATGATTATATTGCGCTTGGGCTAAAGGAGCCCCTCCGGAGTCTGTACACACCCCCAGTGAGCGCCGTCGACGTCAAATGGATCGGGCTGTACGCCGTAGCGTGGTCATGTGCATTGCATTGCATCCTTAAATTATACTTGACTGATATATTTGAAGTTGTTTTGCTGTTAGATCGTAGTAAGGTGTAGGACTGTTAGTATAGCTTTGCTTTGTGGCATTTCGTGGATTTCTTATCTTCAGACATTTTAGATGCTTATTACTCACTGAGTTGATATTACTCACCCCCTACTCCCTGCACCTTGTGTGCAGATTCAGGTACTTCGGGAGCTTAGTTGAGCTAGCCGCTGGTTTCCAGAGTTCCAGGAGTGGTCGAGGTAGCTGCTATGACGTCCGCAGAACCCGACTCCTCCCTTATCCCTTTATTAATTCGGTACTTTAGAACATACTTATTTTGAGGATTCTTGACTCTGTATTGGTTAGAGGCTCTAGACTCATGACCCCAGGTCTTTGGGAGTTACAGTTTATGTCAGTATTTCGTATTGTATTAATTGAGTATTTCAACTATGAGTATTAATATTTGATTTAAGTATCTGATTAATTGGTTTTGAGCTTTGTGCTCGGGTTGAGGGAGTAAATGGTCGGGCTTGCCTAGCATTAGTGTTGGGCGCCATCACGACCGGGTTTGGGGTCATGACAAGTTGGTATCAGAGCCTAGGTTACTAGGCCCCATGAGTCATGAGCCGGTTTAGTAGAGTCTCGTGGAATGACACGGGGACGCGTGTATTTCTCCAAGAGAGGCTACAGAACCTTTAGGAAAACTTCACTTTCTTGGAATTCTTCTCGTGCGTACTTGATTCAGCTTGAGATATACCTCTTGAAATTCCTTCCACAGGTCAGTATGCGCACCTGAGCGCTTAGTAGTATATGCGCCTTGATGGCTTGTGCTTCCCCGATCGAGGGAGGGGCAAGATGTAATCTCCGTGAGTTGATGCTAGGCCAGTCTGTAGGACATGAGGCCGGACCTTTGCTTATGGCTTGAGCACCAAGGTGCTGATTTTGTGAGCTGGAGTTGTGAACTTATAT